ACAATATTCCACTGGACATATATCTTTTTTGTTTGAATATAATTTAATTTAATTGGCATTTTTGTAGTGCTATATAAAATTTTATCAAGGTCAAGTTGTTTTTTTTGTAATTTTTTGTCATTCATTTATGGTTTTGTTATTGTTTTAAACATTTTCTTTTAGATATTTAATACATAGACAACAGCTGATTTTTCATTGTACTCATAAAGAATTAAAGCAACTTTAAATCACCTGTCAAATTTGTATATGGAATAAATTAGTAATTGGATATTCAAATGTTAATGACATACAGCAAATGCATATGATCAATTCAAGGAGTTCAGTTAATTTACTTTTTGTAGCATAATTACTTAAATGCACATTGCTATACAGACCATGATAGGTGGAGATATGGAAATAGGAATATATTTTAATAAACTGTAAGCAAACAAGTCCAAAAAGTTAATGTAAATCACTAGAGTATTTAGTATACAATGCTTTTGACATGTTAAAATTGTATTTGAAAATATAGTGCTGCTAATTTGCTGACACTAAGATTATAACTTTCAAAAGACAATATTTTTTATCAGTTTTTTAGAACAGTTTTCATTTTTGCTTAATCCATGTGCCCATTCATTTGTTTAAATTTTTTACATCAGGCAAAACATGGGCTACTATGTGGTCCTACTTATAGTTTAAGTTTCTATTTTATGATTCTTTATCATCAGGCATTACATAGGCCACCTATGAAGTTTAATGCAGTTCTACACACTCCCACTAGGGACAACATTGAGGTATACACAGATTTTGTGGGGAGGCGAGGGGCGAAACCATACACATACACAAAAAAACCTATTTTAGTGACTTTTTGGGACGTTTGAGATTTTTGGATTAAAATACATTTTGGAACGTGCTGAATGCGATTATAAGGTTCTCTAATTGGGGACCGTGGTTTTGGTCCCCACTTGCCAAGGTGTCCCCAAATGACTGGTGTGTAAACGTGTTCACGACCCCAAATATAACATAAGCAAACGCACACACACACACACACACACACACACACACACACACACACACACAC